AAACCCCAAAACCCCAAAACCCCATAAGACAAATCAACTCAAATAATACAAACTAATTATTTCATAATCCAAAAATAAATCAAAGCTCATATGGATTTCTTACATATTTAGAATTCATAATAAATCTATTTCTTTCATATTTCCCAATCTACCATATTTTCTAGTTAGCATCCTAAGGAGCCAATTCATTTTAAGTATTCCTGTGATTCTAAAAATCATCTTATATTAATTGAGTAATATCCAAATCTGGACTGAACAATCTAGTTTAGACCTCTTACTACTAATTTTTATAAAATTAGCTAGGAATTTATAGAGATCCCATATTCTAAACAAGAAGTTTTATCATCTCCTCCATATTGACATGCTCATTGTAAATTCTATCGCAGACTTTCTAATCAATTGTAATAGTATAAAATCCATCACTCACAGAATTTCTATTGTCAATTCTCTATAACTAGGAATTTTCTGTACTTTCTAATATTAGTTCAGGATGCTATTCCTTTTATCTGTTTTCAAAGAGTTACCTTTCATTAGTTTTACTATCTTAATTTGTCATTATCTTTTCAAAGAGTTTATTTTTAAGATCTTTTTCATACTATCTTTTGTTTATGATCTTTAAGAATATTTACAACAGTGCAATTATCTTAAGATAACCTCCGATTGAGGATATTCCATCTATAAGTTTATCGTAATTTACAGTAATTATGGTTTAAGGATACCCATCATATAGAACAAATTTATAAGCAATATTGAGCTAGTAATCCTACTGCAAATTTGGATAAAAACTATCAGGATTATTAAAGATAAAATGCAATGAATTATCATAGTCATAATCATAGCTGACTAGACTCTTCATTTATTACTCTACAGTAGGCTAAATAATTCCAGCGTATTTATATGAAAACTTAAATGAATTTGAAGTAAAATCGAAATTACTGAAATCTCGACCATTAAAGTAAAAAGAATTTGCTTTTACCTTTGCACTCAATACAATATCTGAAGGTAAAATAGAAAATATGTCAATTTGAATAGTGAATTTATTTTTGTCAACTATGCTATTTTTCCCGTCACATTCTTTATCATCATCACCTTCCATATCATCATATTAAGGTGTTATAATTAAAGAGTCATTATTGTCTCCATAAAAGTCGATCAAGTTTGTTTAAATATTGCATTTAATTCCCTGTGAACTATTAAAAAGAGTTATTGTCATTGAGAATTCTATATCTTCAATTTTTAAAGTTTATTTTTACTCAGAATATACTATGATCTAGATGTTCATTTGATTAAGTAATTCTAAATTTGTTAATTATGTATAGTCTGATAATGTAATTTCTTTTTAGATTTCAAAGCTATTAAAATTCTGGCGATTAACTATGTTATATATCACGAATGCAGCATAGATACCTAGCAATATAGATAACACTATTGAAAACAGAAGTGTTATGAGGGTACTGTGTTATAATCTTTTCTTAATACTTAATGCTCCCGATGTATATTAGCCATACGATAGTTTTTTAAGATAGAATCCTGCTTTTAGACACCATATTTGAATAAACGGAAAGTTGCTCATTGGAAAGAATGATAGAGATAATAAATGATTTTTTAATTTATTTATAATTTTGGATAATTAATCCAATTTCTGATACTCGGGGTTTTGGGGTTTTGGGGTTTTGGGGTTTTGGGG